AACAGGATAACTTTGATGCTCATCAAGCAACAAAGTTGTTTTGAGATGGAAGTTAAAACGGGTACCGTGGTACCGAGGAGAATTTTCAGGGTCTGTGCCACTCACGCCCCTTGTGCTTCTTCAGAACAAAAGTGGTCTACAATCAATCAAAATCAGTTGTGCGTATGTAGCACTAAATCTTTGCCCGGTGTGGAGCGTTATATCCGAAGGTGGTAAGAAGGTGTCGCGAATGGGTGGGGAGAGGGACGGAAGCAACTGCTGCAACAGGACCCAAACCATTCCGTGGCAAACTGTAACACGTCGACTCTGACCGTGCCCATACTTTGCGATCCGGGGCCGTATGCTATACTTCCCCTATAGGGGAAGATATCCCCCAGAAAACCTCTGCTCTCCGTCTCTCATCTTTACTCCCCCATTCTCGTTAAGTCTCCCCCAACGGGCATGCGCTGGGGGACAGGGGAGAATATCGATTATACTCTGCGCTGCACTATATTCGTGCGCCAGAAGATTATGGATGCAGAGCGGCGAGAGCCAGAGAGACGAGGGCATCAATAGAGATAAGGGTAGAGTGTGGAGGACTACTGGGAGAAATCTCCCCTTGAGGGGAGGTATAGCATATGGCCCCTGATCGCTGGGGTCGCCTAATCAGATCAATTGCATGGCGCGGATAGCACACGGTTGAGGTCAGTACGTGAAGCGCACGATCGTCGCCAAACCACGCGCAATCGACGCCGACTGACCGCTGGCGCAAATTGCTTGCATTGTGAAGTATGAAAGTAGCCTCTCTATGCTTGTTTCGCTTACCTCAACACGAGGAAATCTGCATCTCCGACCGCGCGATTCTGAAGTAACACCCCATAGTCAGCTTCGAGCCATTTCATATTACATTAGTGAAAACTGGCTAGTCACTTCTTTGCTGTAAAACAGCAATTTAGATTTCTCATTACACGTGATGAGCGAGCCGGGCTGGCCTAATGCGCGACTCGCCCGACCCTACCAGAGTGTGGTCAAGACGTCCGTGTTGCGACAGCGGCGCATAAGAGCAATAGCAGTTGACTCGTTGACTCTCCTACACTTTTAGCGTTTAATCGGTTAGGTCATGGCAGCCTACGTCCTGAACCTTTTACTTCACGGCCTGAAAAAAAAACAGTGATCGATAAGGTTCCCTTCAAGTTTTGCGGATCACTGTCAGAACACATTCATTACTCAGCGATTTTGATCATAGAACAGCTTTCATTCATTCAGTGGTCCTTAAAGCTTCAACCTCGAGGGTTTATCGATTGTCGAATTCTTCTAGACAATGCCGTCAAATAAATGGTACAGGACGCAGCTTTGCTACGCCAAGGGCCGAACCGGCCAAGCAACTCGGATAGTGGCTGGGTAAGACGTCACGTGGATGTGACACCCGGCTAGATTCTCGACGGCATCGCGATGACGCAGAGCGTGAAGCGCTGCCGTCGCGAAGTCTGAACCTAGCCGCTGGATATTCCTGACCGTCACCGACCTCATCCTTGAGGTTTTGTTCAAAACTTCGTATAGACGAGCGATACTTCAAGGTAAAACATCTTCACACATTAAAACACTATATATTAAAATCATAAAAGATGAATGAAGAACAATTTCTTAACCTCACAGGTATTGCAATAGCAATATGCTGTTAAGTAACACTTGGAGATAATAGTAGACCCTTCAGAAAGGCAAGGAGAAACAAAAACAGAACGAAATAACAAAAGCTGATGTCAATATTCAAAAGCATTTCCATGGAGCCTAGGTGTACATATCTATAACACACACTCAGTAATTGCATATGGATGGCAATAGTGATCAGTTACAGACCTATAGTCGCAACGGACCTCTTCTAGGAAGAAAAAAGCAAAAAAAAACTTTTGAGGAACACTTCTAAGAACCCCTGATCAGTTTCACTCAACTTGGGCTGGGCTCACTCAAAAATGAAACACTATCTCGGCAAGAGTGCGCAGACGGGCAGCGCGCATGGCGTGGCTGCGCTACAGAATGTGAGCGGAGACGTCAATAAGACCAAGCAGTCACAAACGCTATCCCATCTTTGTTGCGCACTTTCAAATGGCAAAGTGGTAGAGTTTCACGGCTGCCGACCACCCCATTTTGTTCGGAACGTAACCCACCTCTCAGTGATACTGTAGTATGTCTTTAAACATGCAAGTACCGTAAACCACAGCGAATAAACCAAGAGCAGAAATAGAAAGGCAGTAATAAACCGTAGGATGGCTTAAGAAACTGAAGATCGCAATAAAAGCTGATGTGTGAGCAAAACGAAAACTATGCAAAGTCGGCAGGAATGGAAGGCAAAACTCGAAATAACACAACTAATGAGAAATACGTTTTAGGAAAGCCTTCAGTGAAAACGACGAAAACAACACCGAAAACCACAGAATTAACCACGAAAAAAACGACTACAAAACCAAATACGGCTCAACACATTACCATACATCCTTCTACACAACCATCGCCTAACATCACAAATGTGAGCAGTGCAAAGCCAACCAGTCACGACGTCAGTCCGGCTATGAGCACGACGGCACAGATTACCACAGCTCAGAAGCAATCACCTGGAACAACTAATGTTACATCATCAAGTGAGTTCACTACAGCGTAGTTTATTCTTGTGACTTAAGACACATCTTCGCTTCACGCTTAGCTTCCGGGGCACTTTTCGCGTTCATCTCATGTATCGGTACCGTCTTTGAACAAGGTTATCTTGTCCTCAAGCACAGAAGGCGAGCCTTTTCCGCGAGTCGAAAATAAGTGATAAAGACGGCTAACCTTCATAACGAAGGCAGTGCCCCGCCCACTGGCCTATACCACAAACAACATCTTTTCGCGTTCATTTCATGGACTAAAACCGTCTCTGAACAAGGCAGTCCTGTTCCAAGCAAAGACGATTTACCTTTTCCGCGACTCGAAAATGAATGATCAGGATGCTACACGCTCAGCAGGCAATGCCCCGCCCAACGCCAAACACTGTACCCAACGTTCTTTTCGCGCTCATTTCATGGACAAACACCGTTCCTCAAAGTAGGGCTGTCCCCAAGCAAAGAAGATGTGCCACTTCGGCAGCTCCAAAAATGGATAACGACGCTAACCGCTGCTAACGAAGGATGTAAGGGAATAAGATTGATATTCGTGCGGAACGGCTTCCTATCTGAGGCGCTTCGGAGGATTTTTTTTACTTCTTTCCCTACTACTGACCCCCAGTACCCCCATTCTTGCTCGCGATAGACGTGCCTTCGGATTTCATTTCCTGTTTTGACTTCGACTACTATACTCTTGGCTTGATTCTGAGAATGACGATTTGCAGGTAAGAAAACTCCTATACTTGGTCCGATAACAGCAACTACGGAAGGAGTAGCTTTCATCGTAACGGATTCTCCAGATGATGTTCCATCGAAGACCAGCGAGAAGAAACAAAAAACGTATTTTTTATTATTAAACAGCCTCAATCAAATGCGACCCGGATATTCAGACAACTAATAACCCTTAGTTGTTGTAAGTGGCTCGCTTATCAGACGGTACGAGGGTCAAATCCTTCACTGGGGCCACTCAAACTTGCTATCCCTCCCAGGCTGTCAAACTAGTATCAGATTGGTATGGCAGGATAAGAACACTGACTTCGGCTCGGCTGGCTCCCTCAACTGAACCGATGCAGAAGCGGCGAAGTTTCATCACTTAAAGACACTCCGCGCGCTTGAGCAACTCGGCAGTCCTGCTCTTCCTTGTCAAAGTAGTCTGGCCCTCTCTCAAAGATTATCCTACTTTCGCATCTTCACAATAAGTAACTGTGGAGATGCGAAAGTAGTGATAATCCACTTGTGAAGGTTGTGGCCCTCGCAAGTGGCACACATGTCTAATTTCGGTCAAGCACTGTCTGTTCTCGACCAATACCACCTGAAATCGACGTTATTAGCAGGCGCGGCGAATTGCGATTCTCTTGCCACATACCCCGC